CATATAGAAGTTGCGTTTGCCTATCTACCCAAACTACAAAAGGGATAAGGGCGACCCATCCTCTCAGTAACAGTCGTTAAGTCTCCAAACACTCGTGCATTCCTCGTGCACGAATGTGGGCCTAGGGCAGACGTGAGGACAAATAAGAAAAGAGCATCACCAGACTGTAAACAAATGACTCTCCAAGTAAAGTTTCTCAATACGGAAGTGGGGTAAGACACAGCACGCCTCACACAGTTTTGTGGATAGGTACGATGCTGCAAGCCAATCATGGTGGTGATCGAGTACGGAAAACAACACTGATCTACACTTCGCCCGATACCGTCGAACATGAGTCATTCCCTCTGCATCACAGAAACTCGCTTTCATTGAAGTTGATCGGGGACAGACGCCCAGGGAAGGCTTAGTCGGTCGGCATGCCAGTCACATGGACTGCAGACGACAAGGACAGCGATGAGCTTGATGCTAACCACTATTTCAGTTGTCCATCTGGACGCCATCGTCAGTAAAGGTCGGCCTCAGGTGAGATGACATCCCAACGATTGTGCCTTTATGTCGAAACAGCACATGAGTGAGTCACCGGAGCAGGCGACATGCAGTTGGCAGGTCGTGTTCCGGACAGGCAGGATAGTTAGGGCCGGAGACGTGGTCGGAGAAATAAATTCTGAGGACGGGAGACATGCGCATTGGATAAAAGATTTCCGGATGATGGGTGTCTTCTGGGCTCACGGGTCATGCCTTGCACCACATAATAAGTACATTAAAAAAGTTGCAAATAATCTGTTTGAATGATCGACCGCAGATCTTAGAGATCAAGTGGAATGAAGGAGGTACGCACCTGATTGGGTCCGTTTGGTGGGAAAATTAGACCAAGGTAGCGAAAACGGCCCATAAGCCTAAGAGCCTCGCCGTTTGTAACCACAAACTCTCAGCCCTTATAAGTCTTTTTGAGTGAACACTTAGGTCAACCTAGGCCGCTCTCTTGCCCGTCTAGAAGACATCGTTCTGAATTTCTGTAAATAAGTTCGCCAACATTGGGCTCACCAGCGCAGTCAAGATTCTTAGTGCAAGGAATCTGACCTGCCGTAACATCGAGCAGATTTGCCCGGGCGTGTTAGGGTTTGCGGCCAAACTGAACAGCGTTGGTGAAACGATATTGTAAAGACGAGTCTGCAATCTCTGTTAAATCGTCGTTATAAAGCAAACCTTAGTAGGAACGCTTTGTAGGCAGCCAGCGAATACCGGGGAAAACCACTTAAAGAGTTCTACTGGAAGGTAACACTAATTCAACCAAGTATCTCGCCTGACGACAGACCGCAGTTGTGACTGTTTCCGGCCACCACGTTTGATTTTGCCAAACGTGTCAGATTTGCGCATGGAAACGTCCCTTTTACTGGCAAGGCATGTCTGGTAGGAACTTGGTTGTTTCTGATAAGCGGGGAAAGCGGATTGACGAGCAATCTCTATCTAAAGATCCGACACAGCTTAATGCTACAAATATTAGACAAGGTATGTTTAATGTCTCGGACAGTTTTACTGAAAAGCAGGGTCCATTCGTGCCCTGCAGAGCGCTTGAAGTTTAGATGCCTCAAAAGGCGAGCGGCCACTACTGTCTGCCAGACGAGTGGGTCCAGTCGAAATTAAACGTTCGCGACAAAGTTTAGACCGGTCCAACATAGTGAACTCAGTACTTGAAAGGCACGGTTTGGTTCGCGCCAATTGTTTTCAATTAGAGACGCTGGCGGGAAATGTACAGTTAACTGAAGCGTAGTGGGGCAGTTAGAAGTCATACGGACATTTATTTTAAGACTCTCAAAGTAATCCGAACCACAGTCGAGCTCCTGTTATTTTCTTCATGACCGCTTCCGGTTTTATGCTGGCCGCAAGCACTACCTGTATATTGTAAAGCCGGCTGTTACCTAGGACGGAACAAGCCGGAGTTTGCAAGGACCAACCTTATTGGTCGTGCGAATTGGCACTGTATCTTATCAAAGGATTCGTTCCGCGCATACATCGCGCGTGTCTGTCAATTATGTTGCTATTTCCTGCAATTTATCAGATGGGCTGAGCAAACTATGGAAGTGAATGGCCTACTATGAAACACGTTCGAGAAAATAACTCAAAAGTCGGTAGTATAGTAAACAATCATATTCCGGACATTCGAACACGGCAGATCTGGTAAGGCTCGGTTAATCTTCAAGATATTCGCAAGAAAACTTTTTCCACAGTGAAAATTCGTTTCTCTACACCTGGCCTGAGTCCTATCTACAGTTAACAGAACGGAGTTAACTGCGAATGAACGCGTTACACGGGATAGTTACCAAAGTATTTGCTAACCGTCACTCCATGCAAGGACGGAGAAGCGCAACACGGAAGCAGACTCAGGATAGGGCCGTGCAAGCGTCACGAAAAAGACAAATTAATTATCCTAGGCTGTGGACGGCAGATACGCGAGTCCTCCCTTCTTGTAAGGCGGCTTTAAGCAAGTTGGTTCACTCGATACATGATACGCTCTTTTAACATTAAGGCCAATATACTACAACTGGAGGGTGACGAAGCGCAGATTCACGTATGACTGACGACATTTTCATTGACCGAACTCGCAAGAAAAGTGTAGAGACACTTAGAGTACTGTAGCGTATCCTAAACAACTAACACGAAAAGGGCTGTGGTGGTTTCATAAGAAGAAGAAACGGTTTTACGTAGATGGGATTTGAATGCTCCGGTCAGACTAATCAGTAAAAGCGAAAATCCAAGTTGTTTTTGCAGTATGACTGAAGTTTTAAAATGCAAGTTAAGTCGATGTCGAAGACCGACACTTCTTCAGAAGTTAGCCGGATCCGCAAGACGCTTTTGGGCGCAAGCGGGACCAGGATCTAAAATATTACCGTTATATCAGAAAGATATGAGGAAAGCGTGGGTTTAAATCACTTGGAATGCAGAGAAAAGAGGACAAGACAGCCATCGTTGGCATTAAAGTTAATAAACAATCTTCCGGCAAAAAAATAATGAAAACAAGCCTCAGATTAATGGTAAATGCTTACAGTACGAAGATGCCTCCGAAAATGCAGCTGGCTGATAAAGATATAGAGATGACAACGCCAAGGATACAGCAGACTAAAGCGTGAAAATCGTTTAAAATTAATTACGTAATCCTGTTAGGATGTACACAATGCGCACGCCATAGCGTTCAATGACAGAAAGCCGCGAAGGCTCTGAGCCCTGCATTTCTAGGTGAAATAATGGGGTATATACACCGAGTCGTTTGAGGTCAGCACCATATGCTCTGTTCGTCAAATGTCACAGGTCACAGTTTAGTCAGGTTTATTGAGTAAAAAGGCGCGAGTCTTTGAGTGCACTATTCGAAACACAGAATCCAGTCGGTGTACGAAGAAACCATATGAGTTAAAATGATATGATTTTTTATGGTTGGGGTGGATCTCTTATCACTCTCGTTCATTTCGGAACATGAATATGAAGAGGTTCCTTTTAAATCGCTCCGTGATTGGTGAAATCAAAACGTTTGCAGGAAGGGCATTCCATGATCTGACCACTATGACGGAAGAGGAAGCCTTCCACACATCCAGCCTCGCCTTCTGAATGAATAGTTATAGTGGGTGGACTCGGAAGCTGGTCATGTTAACAAATTCGAAAAAGTTCCTCAAAGGTCAAGCTGCAATCCAAACTCTTCAAAATATGCAAGGCTTGTAAGGGAAGGAAGTTCCGATGTATTGGGTGGGCTGCGTAGAGAGGGGAGTTCTAACTCCAAATCTTTTCTCAACTCTTTTCTAGACGCCTTCAAGACTATTCTGACCTCAAACCGTCTATGGTCTCCAGGATTGAATCCCGTATTCCAAGTTCGTCCGCATAAATGAATCGAAGATTTTGCAGAATTCATACATCGGTCAAGTCTATTCGCGCCAAAGTGGCGAAAAGAGAGAAACCTAAACGCGACTGGTCACAGTCTGCCTCGAATCCACCCGAGGTTGGAGCAAGGGAGATAGGACCATGGGACCTCATTGCAGACCGATGAAACTACCAGTAGATGGCGAACTCTGTGGATTCCGCTGTGAAAGTCGAAAGACAGTTTAGGGTCGAAAGGAAATGACATCGAGAACCTAAGGCACTCTCCCTTTTACTTGGACGTTTCCTCATTCACGGGAAACTTCTGCTTTGCATCTGTTATTCTCTCGCCGCAAGGAAAGGCAATTATTGGCTGTATCTACAATCCCCCAAATTCTTTTGCCAGTGATGATTCACAACTCTGTGAAATCTTTAAATTAATTTCGGAAGCTGCTTTCGATGTTAAAATAATCACTGGGGATTTTAACCTTCCTGAAATAGACTGGGTTTCCAATAGCTGTCCACCCAGATTCCAGCCCTTTCAAGATATTGTCAATTTTTCTAATTGCTCCCAACTATTGCGCTCTCCAACAAGAGATAATCACATTTTAGATCTAATCTTTACCAATGACATTGCTCCTCTTTCTGTTGCTTTAAAAAAGGACCTCATTGACAGTGACCACGTATTAAATCATTGTTGCCTACCGCTTGCCTTTTCAAAAAAGACAAGCGCCGTTCTGACTTACAGGAACTACGACTGCGTAGATAACGACTTAATAAATAACTATATAAGATCTTTGGATTGGTGTGGCTGCCTCACTTGTAGCGATGCAACCATACTTCGTGATGTCAGGTCCAATATTTCCAAGGACATACTAAAGTTTGTGCCGTGTAGATATCTCAACCCTAATTCGTCAGATTCCCTTGTTCCTCATTTAGTATCAGTATCAGTATCAGTTTATTAAGGGAAATATAGGCAAGCGCCTTTGAATTCCCTTTTGGTTACAAGTCGTCGGAGAAAAACATTGATAAATGGGAAGGTGAAAAAGGGATTTTTTACATACTCGCGGACAGCTGGCAGCTAGCCGAAAACGAGTAATCATTAATGGTTACTTACTAATTACAAGTAGTATAAACACATATAAGATGGTACCGGGTTATGTGAGTGGATGTGGGGGTGGTAATTGGGAAGCCTGATGCAGGTCAAGTCTACACTTGAAGGAGTTCACCCAGGAGGAGGTTACAACATCGGTAGGTAGGGAATTCCAGGCTGCAACCACTCTGTTACTGAAAAAGGACTTTCGTCCATTGGTTCTTGATTTCCCTGCGCGTAGTTTTAGGGGATGACCGCGCAAATTGGGCGTGTTAGCTTGGGTGAAATAATCAGTGGGATCTAAACAACAGTCTAGGCCTTTGATGATGCGAAATGTCAATATAAGGTCACCACGTAATTGCCTGTAGGAAAGGGGAAACAGGTTGAGGATTGACAGTCTGGTTTCATAGGGCAGTGCTCCCAGACCTTGTGTCATTTTGGTCGCCCGTCTCTGGACCGTCTCCAAGACGGTATAATCTTTGGCAGTCCAGGGTCTCCACGTCTGTATGGCGTATTCTAGATGAGGTCGCACGAAGGTGCCAAATATTTTGGAAAAGCAGTCAGGGTCAAATCCCATAAATGCTCGCCTAATGAGTTGCAATGTAGCCGTAGCCGATTTAGCCGCCTTCGCGCAGTGCAGTGTTGGTTTGAGTGAAGATGTAATCCATACACCCAGCTCCTTCTGACTGTCAACCTGTTGCAGTGGTGTGCCGTTTAGAAAGTAGGTCCTGGGGCTGGGGGCTCTGAAGCCGCCGAGTTGAAGAAAGTTACACTTGCTTATATTGAAGGGCATAAGCCAGCGCTTCGACCAGTCTTCGAGCCTGTTCAAGTTTGCTTGCAGGTGGTCTGCGTCTGCCGCATCGTGAATAACTTTCCACAATTTTATGTCGTCGGCAAACAGGATGGCATCACAGTCTAGGTCCTTGACGCAGTCATTTACGAAAACGAGGAATAACGTGGGACCTAAGACTGAGCCCTGTGGGACGCCACTCACCACTCTTACATCAGAGGACTGTTGACGCCCGACCTGCACTATCTGGGACCGTCCAGCCAAAAAGCTCTGGATCCATACAAGAAGGCGTCCACGAATTCCAGCGTTGCGCAGTTTGTACAAGAGACGATGATGAGGAACGCTGTCGAAAGCCTTTTTGAAGTCGATGTAGATGGCGTGCACCACCTTGCCTTCATCACGTGCTTTGGTCCAGCGTTCGAGCGTAAAGAGCAGATTCGTGAGGCAGGACCTACCTCTTCGAAAGCCATGTTGGGCATCAGAAAGGAGATGGTGCTGCTCAAGGAACTGCACCAAGGCCTTCTTAATGATCTTCTCCATGATTTTGCAACAGATGGAGGTAAGACTCACTGGCCTGTAGTTATTCGCAGACGCACGACTTCCACCCTTAAAAAGTGGAGTGATGGTAGCGGACTTCCAGTCAGAGGGCAGGCATCCAGTAACAAATGACGTTTGAAAGATCAAGGCTAACGGCTTGGACATTTCGGAAGCTAGTTCCTTCAGCAGCTTGGCTGGGATTGCATCAGGGCCTGGGGAGGTCGATTCTTTTAGGTTTAGTAACTCATTCCGAACAATTGTTTCGGTGAAGAAGACGGCTTCGAGGGTAGGTGTTTCATCGTCTTCATAAGCGGGTGAGGAAAAAGCAGGTTCACTTGTCACGACTGACCGGAAGAACTGAGAGAGATGTTCAGCCTTATCCTTGTCACCGGAAATTTCCACACCCTCAGCCGTTCGCAGCAGTGGGACAGGATCTTTGTTCCGTGTGCTCTGTCTTATGTAGCTGTAAAGGATTTTTGGATTAATCATGGCACGGTTCAAAAGATTCTTTTCAAAAGCTTTCCTATCTCTGGCGATGAGAATTTTGACCCGATTTCTCTGTAACTTATAACTGCTTAGGGATTCTGGCGTGCGGTCCGTCAGCTATCTTTTCCATAGCTTCCTTCTTTTATGACGGAGTCAACCAGCGAGGTCTATTTGTTAGTCTTTTGCGCATGATTGGACAGTGGTTGGAGATGAGGTTGTGGACTAACTCTTTGAACTGACACCAAGCCTCTTCGACATCGCCGGAGAGAGTGGATGCCCAGTCTATAGGACTAAGATCCTTTTTCATCTTTTCGAAATCGCCGCGCCAAATATTAGGTCGGGAATCGGGCGGTTGTGTAGGAAGGGAGAATAACGTGTATTCCCACATGAGAACTACATGCTCACTCTGACCCAACGGGGGGAGGCAATTCACAACGTCGATGTTGTCAGACGACTTGGTGAACACAAGATCGAGGCAGTTCATCTGTTGGCCCTCTCGAACTCTAGTTGGAAACATTACGTGTTGTGTGAGAAGCAGGTTGTCGGAGGTACGCAGTAGCTGCTGGTCAAATGCTGCTTCAGAGCAGTCGGCTGAGGCCGAGCTCCAGTCGATGTGAGGTGCATTAAAATCTCCAACGATGAGAGTGGTCGGCCGCGTTGAAAATAATCTGAGCTCCTCCAGCAGTTGGGCATCAGCGTCAGGGTCATTTCTCGGGGGGCGATATACTGTCAAGATATCGAGACTTTGAGAGCCCGGTGCCCTTATGGTCAGCCATAATGCTTCGGTACTACAAGTCAGTTGGGCAGTTTTTTCTGAAACGTGCAAGCCGTTCTTAACAAATGTTATTATGACTCCACCCCTTCTGTTTTCTCTGTCTCGGCGGAACAGCTGAAATCCAGGGAGCATGAGCTCTCTATCATCAACCTGTTCGGACAACCATGTTTCTGTTATTGAGATAACATCTGGATGGAGGTCGTAGGTATGGATACGGAGTTCGTCCAGTTTAGAAAGCACACTTTGCGCGTTGGTATACATGAATATGAGTTTCGAGTTCATGCGAGATTTGTTTTCAAACCCGACACGGGCTACTGGGGTAGCTGTGCAGTCATTCGGATCGGCTTGATCCAGAGGGGAGCGGAATGTCGTTTGACAATCCGGTCTTTGTAGATTGTCAAGTTTTTCTCTCCGTTGGTTTGCCGTGTTCTCAATTCTAGGACAAGTTCGCGGCGTTTCATTCTCTCGGCAGGTGAGTAGTCCGGCTGAAAAAACACTCCTTTATGGGAATGCTTCAATCGAAAACGCCTGGAAAGTATTAGTTTCGCCTGCTCATTGCTACCAAGAACGATTTTTAGGGGTCGTGGTCGCGTCTCCGGAGCGGCATTTGTACGGCTACCAAGACGGAACGCCTTTAGGACTGTGACATCTTCTGTTGGTTGCAGCATTTCATTGAGGAGTTTCTGGAATTGCTCTAAGTCAGCAGCGATTCGTTCCCTGGGGGAACTGGCGGAGGACTCTGCGAGGCCCTGAATTATGACACAGTGGTCCTTGTTAAGCATTCCTCTGTTTTCTCCGATTTGGACGTCGTTGGCTGGCCCTATTGCCTCGTCGAAGTGGACTGGAGAAGAGGAAGGGGCTGCCATACTGGTATTTAGGTCCCCGTGAAGTTCGTCCGCGGATCCTGTTAAGGCATCGTGAATAGTTGCACACTGGGATCTATCAACAATACCTCCCATCAGAGGGCTCTGTGGAGAGCTTGACCCCCATGAATTAGAGGCTTCCTCAGCTCGGTTCTTGACTCTGTTGACATGGGAATTCGCGGTGGCAGCTAATTCCACCCTAGGTCCATAGCCATATGTCTTTGCGCTAACTGATAATCCCTCTAAGTTAGGCTCAAGAAATGAGAACACTGTCTGGGAATTATTAAGATTGGGCGTCATCTGCCCCATTACTTCCACTTCTTCCGTTGGCACATTTACATTCGTTTCATTTTCCAACCGCTTTTCGGGTAAGGCTAATATACTCTCTTTCGTATTCTGGCGACTTTTCCTGGTGGTGTTAAGTGTCGTCTTCTTCCTCTTATTCCTGTTTCATCGGAAGCCACGACTTCATTACTAATAGTAGTTGTCTTATTCACCCCATAATTGCTTTCTTCACAATAGACTAAAAAAGTTGAGGCGACAGCTGCGTGACACATCCACTAGTTCCTTATCAGTTCATCTTAGAATCACAAGGATATTTTAGATGGCCTCAAGAATGCGCCAAGCGCGCGACAGGCAAAGAAAATCAATTGCTCTCAGTGGTTCGAACCCTGGCAAATCCGTCGCTAACATCTTCCGTCATCGGTCCTCCTCTAAGCCTGGTCACAAACTTCCACCCCCGCTAAATGATAACAAAGTCTTCCTCACCGATGACACTGACAAGGCGGAGTTGTTAAGTGCTTTCTTTGCAAAACACCTTGCTACCCAGTCCGATCCGGTCCCTTTCTTTCGATCACTTTCAGATAGGCCACTTAGTACAATTGATGTCTCCTCAAATCTCGTTATGAAGCATATAAGCCGTCTAAAATACTCACACTGCTCTGGAACGGACGGGATTCCGAATTCGATTATTAAACAAGCGTCCGACTTTCCCATATTGCTTAGTCATTTATTCTCGGTTTATATTTCAAAAGGAATCTTTCCTGAAACATGGAAAACATCATTCCAGTCTTCCAGTCAGGATCTCGGTCCGATGTTGATAACTATCGGGGCGTGCACAGAACGCCGTCTCTAGCAAAGCTTCTTGAAAGTATTATTTTCAATGAAATTCTTGACTTCTGTCTAGCTAATCAGCTTTCGAGCTCTAGTCAACATGGATTTTTACCTGAACGATCCTGCGAAACATGTCACTTGGCTTTTCTTAATCTAATCACTTCTCTTCGTAATGAGCGACAGTCAGTGGTACTTATTTAATTTGATCTTAGCAAAGCCTTTGACAAGGTGCCCCATAGACGTCTTTTAGTAAAATTGGAAGCTCTCGGAATCCGGCCGCCTCTACTCGACTTCATCAGGTCCTATCTGTCCAACCGATATCAGAAAGTCGTGGTCCGGAATAGCTACTCAACACCTCACTCGATCACGAGTGGCGTACTTCAAGGCACGGTTCTGGGTCCGCTAATCTTCCTTCTGTACATCAATGATATTTCGACTGAACTCGCAAATTCGCAAACTTTTACTTATGCCGATGACCTCAAGTGTGCTTACTCACATTCTAAGGATACTGCAAACATTTGTGTTGAAAAAATTAATGCCGATTTACTACGCTTAAGCAGATGGGGTTCGACATGGCAGATGGAGTTTTCATCATCCAAGTGTAGTTTCCTGTCTTTTGGTCCTACAAAACTTCCTGGTCCCATAATTTTTCAGAATAACCCACTCTCAGAATGCCTCACTACAAAGGACCTAGGTCTAAGTTTTACAAATAAACTAGCTTTATCACCTCATGCAGATAGAATCTCTGCCAAAGCCTAGCAGATATATGGATTCATATCGCATAATTTTTCCCTTCCGGAAATGAAGATAAGACTTTATCAAATGTTTGTTCTTCCAGTCCTCGAATACTGCTGTCCTTTCTTCGGTTTAATGAACGCCTGCGACCGTAATAAAATCGAAAATGTTCAAAGGGTTTTCACCCGTAAACTTTTCTCTCAAGCTTCGTCCAGTATTTCTTACACTCAGAGATGTCAGTTGGCGAACATGAAGTTTTTGTGAGCTAGAAGACTCGAAGCTGGCCTTTGCTTCCTTCTTCGCATCAGCTCTAGCTCCAGTCTTCCGCACATTGACACTCTCACTCCGAGAGATCGGTCTTATGCCACGCGCAACTCCTGCATGGTGATTCTTTGCTTCCAAATATGCCTTCCTTTGGAATAATCTTCCGCCTGAAATTGGATTATTGCCTAAGTTACTGGTATTCAAGTCGAAGTTACGCAAACATCTTATACCGCAAAGCATAAAGGCATTGTTAACGGTCTCATTCCCGAACACTCAGGTTCTTGAGTTCTAGAAGGGTCCTCCTGGGATTTAGTGGTAGATCTAGTGGTAACTCTTAATTATATCACTAGAAACCCCTGTTTTGAATTGGTTTATAAATCCACTGCTATCACTCCCCCCCATAGCGACAATTTTCGCGGTTTTTGATGTCATCTCCCGCATCCCGACTTCCTGCGGTCTGTCGACGCTCAGGGCGGAACCCTCAGTATTTACTGTCTACTAGTAGTTTGGTCGTACCTCCCTTCCCCACTGCTCGGCTGAGCTCGAAGCGTGCTGTGGCCGATCGCATCTGGGTTCCTCTCGTCTGGCCTCTTTGACGCGAATAGTCTCATCTGGCGTATCAATCCGGCCCAGACGATGTCAGTTGTGAATCTCGTATACAATGCCACATGCAAGCCAGTCCTGTCTGACCCACATACGTACCCCTCAGGACTGACATTTACTGCTACCCTGACGATGTCTGACAACAATCCGTTATATACCGCCACCTACAGGCCAGTCCTGCTCGCTTTTTTCTATCATTATTTTTATTGAGGGTTTTTTTCTCCTGCAAAATTAATCCATTCATTTTTAAATTTTTGTCTGGAGTTTTTTTTTCACCCCTCATAAATCATGTTTCTCAATGGACTACTAATTCAGAAACTATGGATTGCATTTTGTAAAGATTCGGCCTACCTCGTCTAAAACTCACATGTAAATTTATTTTAACTTGCTTTGATGGGACCCCCGACGGGTCTTAAATAAAAAATTATCCATCTATCTATCTTAAACAGAGAACGGTATAGTTCACTTACTAGTCTGCGAACCGACAATAAAAGTGGTCAGTGGAGACGGTTTATCGTTTAAAGCATAATTTTATTAAAAATTTTACGAGGAAAACCTTTAGTATATGCAGGCAATACGTAATAGGATTGAGGCTAGGTTGGGTGAAGAACTATGATACTAGACTACTGCTTTGTAAAAAATCGACGAAT